GATGCACAACAGAATATGCCTGAGGAGGGACAGAGAGACGGCTCGGGAGTCAAGCCTGACGATCTGATTCCATCCTGGGAACCCACACAGCGAAAGGAGAGCCAACTTGTGCATGCCTCCGCCACTAAACAAACAAATGAGTAAATACAATTTAGAAGAGAGAATATGTCTGAGAATGTTCTTGGCACCCCACTGTCCGTCCGCTAACTGAACTTACTATGGACCTGTTCACACCAGCACATACTGTTGGCGACAGACATGGGGCTACCACATGGATGCATGCCAACTGATACACTCAGCAAAAGAAGCCAAACACAAGATGCAGACAAGATGACCTCACACTTATAAGATTAAACTAGTTAAACTAAATGGTACTTGTGTAGGGACACACACACAAATGGTGAACCAAAGAGATGATGGTCATCTACAGGTCAAGATGACAGTCTCTCAGGAGGAGGTTAAAATCTGAAGTAGGCATTGACAATGTTCTATTTCTTTTTGTTAATTTCTTCCTTTCTTCCTTCCTTTCTTTCTTTTTGCTTTTTTTTTTTTTTGAGGCAGATTTCTCTGTGTAGTGTTGGAGCCTATCCTGGAACTCACTATATAGACCAGGCTGGCCTTGAAACTCACAGAGATCTGCCTGCCTCTGCCTCCTGAGTGCTGGGATCAATGGGATCAAAGGCCTGTGCCACCACCGCCTGGACCATGTTCTACTTTTTGAGGCTGCAGTGTTTACATTGTCATTTCCTTCATAAGTATTTACTAAACTATACGTCTGTGCCCCCTGTGGGACAATGGTCTGTACCCTGTCACTTGTATTTTAAATAAACGCTGGTTGGTCAGTAGCCAGGCAGGAAGTATAGGCAAGGCAGAAAGTAGAATTGGGCAACAAGAATTCTGGGAAGAGGGAAGATTCAATCTGCAGTCTTCACCCAGACTGAGAGGAAGCCAGACACAGAGCAAGCAAGATGTGACTGCCTCGCCGAAAAAGGTACCAACCCATGTGGTTAACACAGATAAGAACACAGGCTAACGTAAGTTATAAGAGTTAATAAGAAGCCTGAGATACTAGGCCAATCAGTTTATAACTAATGTAGACCTCTGTTTATAACTAATGTAGACCTCTGTGTGATTTCTTTGGGACTTAATGATCGCAGAAACCCAGCAGGACAGAAACCTCAGCCAACATTCCATCTGTATACTGTACCCTTCAGAGTAAAAAACATTCTAAACAAATATAACAAAATAAATATCTTGATTCTTAGAAAAATTGAAAGGACACAAAAACTGTCATAAAAAAAACTGTACTCAGCTTTTTGTTTCTGAGTTGAGATTGTTCCACACTGACTCTAACTTCTAGGTCCAACAATCCTCCTGCCTCAGCCTTTCTAGAGCTACCATGTCACCCTGCCAATCATGACCTTTGTTTTTAATTTGAAACCTTGCTTCCCAAATTCCTAACAGAATGAATACATACCAAACACATTTTCTCTTTCGGTAAGCCTATTTTCTTTCCATGTTTCTTTAAATAAGGTCTCATGTAAGGGAGGTAGACTTAACTCTTGCTCCTCCTGCCTGCACCTACAGAATGTTGGGACTGCAAGCATGCACCACCCCAGCTTAAGCAGGGGATGTTTGCAATTGCCTAACCTCTTAGGACTGCAGGTGGAAACAGTCACCTGGGAACAGATGGATGCTTTGCCACACAACACCCAAGGACCCACTTACACTTGGAAAAACAAGGCTGAAGGGGTACCCACAGACCTAGGGTGGTATCTTCTTGAAATTTGCCATTCCTAGCTGGGCAGGCAGTGGTGTACACCTTTAATCCCAGCACTTGGGAGGCAGAGGCAGGACAGTCTCTGTGAGTTCAAAGCCAGCCTGGTCCACAGAGTGAGTTGCAGGACAGCCAGGACTGTTTCACAGAGAAACCCTGCCTCGAAAAAACAAAACAAAACAAAAAAATCAATTTGCCATTCCTGAGCATCTTTGCTTAGGTAAGACCCTACTGACAACGTGGAACCAGTTTCCCAAAGGAATTTGGGTTGAGACTGGGGAAAGGAAGGAAGGCAGACATAGCTCTTAAATTCAGATAAAAGGCTTGAAAAGAGGAGACACTCGTTGATCTGCGCTGATCCCCCAAGGCTAGAGGCAGTCAGCCTAATAGCAGGCTCAGTGCAAGGCCCAACAAGTGGTGCTTTGGGGACACAGAGCTAAGCACGTGCGTGTGAACTAAAAAAAAGCTCTAACCTCAGCGTCCAAGCGGGGGATTGTGCTGGCATGGAGCTGGTTCCCAAAGGGCACTGAGCAGCGACTACCACACATCCTTGACCCGGGCAGGGCAACTCTTCCACAGCGACACCACCACGCAGATACCAATCTGAGTCCCCACCCACTGCTCTCCCTCCTCTGAAAGGACCTCTTTGGGCTGCAGAGGTCTCTAGAGAGCTTAGAATCCTTCCTAATGAGCCTTTCTGGGAAACTCGGAAGGGTACTTGAAAAAACAATCTGTGACTGCATTAGTGCCCACCCCGAGAAAAGAGGCACAGAGGGGAAACATCTAAACCAAAGTTGGTGGGTCCCAAACAGGTGCTTTTCTGGCCCCTTTATGCCGACAACCCACGCTGTCACATCAAGCTGGCAGGGAAAGCCGCAGCTCATTCACACAAAGCCCACAACAGGTGACTGGAGGAGAAGGGTCACCCATGAGGGCAAACTCGAGGAACAAGATGACGCTGTGCTCGCTAGTGTTCCTCTATGACCGAGAACATGCTATTACAGGAACATGCTTCTTTCACACTTCTCTCTTTGGAAAGTGGGTAAGACAGGCTCTGTCACCCTGGGCACTGTCCCTCTGCCCGTGAGCTCTTGCTGGCTCACCATTCACACCTTTCCAGAGGTCCAATGACCCCCCCCCCCCCCCCCCCCCCCCCCTGCCAACGCCCCCCCCCCCCCCCCCCCACTGTCCCTCTGTTTCCTTTCAGAAAAGAGCAGGCCTCGCAGGGATATCAAATGAACATATAATAACAAGATACAATAACAGTAGGCAGAAAGCTTCATATCCAAACTCCAGAACTCCAGTCCTCGCAATTGCTCAAGTACCTTCAAACCTTGAGCTGTCTCTGTCGAGCCCCCCCCCCCCCCCCCCCCCCCGCACCTCACCCCTGCCAACGCCCTCATCCATGGCTTGGGATCCTACAATCTCTCAGGCCAAGGTCTATCTCTATTTCATCTGTTCCTCTTCCCATCCCTCTTCACACTGCCACTCAGAGACTGGAAGACAGGGGAAAGAGAAAGGGAGCCTAGGTCTGCAGTACCACTGAAAAACGAAACCAGAAAGCTGGACTTGGCGACTGAGTGACTGGTGGTTGGCCGCTGGTGCTATCATGAAAATGTAATTCCCCTGATAACCATGGAAACCAAACGAAGGCACTATGGTGAAGGCTGCTCTCTTTCGATAGCAATAAGAGGCCAGAACCCAGAGAAACAAAGCGATGCAGGCGTTCTAGGCCAGAGGAAATCCTTTCCTAACAGCTTCAACAGAGTACCATTTTCTCAGTCTCTAAATCTCAGCAGGCTTCCACCGGGGCTGGAGACCCGGCAAGGTTCCTGAGACAATTCAAACCTCTCTTGTGTGCCAGTCCCCTGGGGCCAGCTGCAGTGAGGCAAACTCCCTGTTATCCTAAAACATACTGAGACCCAGCAGAGGGACATACATGTGTGCACATACACACACACACACACGTGCACAAAAGAGACTTTTATATAACCTCAAACTGACATAGTCAGCTATGGAAACAGCGTCACGTGGGCAAACACCATTGTCTGGTTCATAGCTTTCTCTCCATCCAGCTCCTTGTAGATGTACAAACAGGCAGCCGGAATAAACGAACACGGGAAAGCACAAGCCTTCTTCCTACTACCCAGTGCCAACAGCGTTGAAGTCTGAGCAGAATCAAAGTCCTGGCCTCGTTCTGGGCGCAGTCTCTTTACGTGCAGGAGACAGCGGATTACATGGGTTCCTAGGCATCTTCCAGGAGACAGGCAATCACTCTGCTGTGCTTTTTTTGGTGGGTGCACATGCCTGGCAGTTTTCTCTCCCCTCAGAGGGAATCTGATACCCATCTGCTCTAGTAAATTAGCGTTCCCATCCTGACTCATTCTGTAGGAACAACAGGTTCACATGCCAATGGGAAACAGAAGGCAAAGGGGGCCTGGGAAAGGGGCGAGGGTTCTACAGTCAAAAAAAAATCCCAGCAACACTGTTCTTGGGCTCAGATACACATACACACACAGTGGACGCTGTGCTTACTGCAAGAAAGACGTCTCTCTTGGAGGAGTCTCTCTAGCCGGCTATTTTTGTCTATTTTAATAATGCCCATGCTGAGAGCACTCTCTAAGGAGCCCTCGGGCCCGCACTGTGCTCATCTCGCTTCACACTTAATCCTCACAGCAGCCTCTGGCCGGGGTACTCTCTACTTTTAACAGAAGCGCCATCGACGTGGCTTAAGGTTGTCTGGCTAGTGGGTGGTGGGACTAAAACCAACTCCGGAGTTCTGGCTCACCAAATGGCTTTGCCATCAGTTCTTGGGTGCAGGAGGGAGGCCGGGCAGGCGTTACCCCTCTTCCTTCATAGATTTTAGAAACCGAGTCTCCATGACTTGCTAAAGCCAGACCCACTGGGTGCTCGACTGCACACTCGCTCCTGCATCTCGGGCGAAGGCTGCCATCCACAAAGTGGAATTCATTCTCTCGCACTCTCGGAAAGCCCTGGGGCTGGAGGCGACCGCGGGCGGTCCCCGTGGTGGGGGTGGCGGGGCAAGGCAAGGCTCTCCTGGAGCTCCGGCGGCCAAGCCCCCCCACCCCCGCATGGCCCCAGGCCGGGTCCCCGCAGCCCATCCAGAGGCTTGGCCCGCGGCAGGGCCGAGCGGCCTGTGGCCTGGAGCACCAGCGGGCTCCCGGGAGGCCTCTGGGGCGCGTCGAGGAGCCCGCGCTCTTACCTCAGGGAGCGGCGCTGCGCGCCCCCGGCCGCGACGCCCTGGAAGCCGCAGGGCTGCCCGAGGATTGCGGCGCGCCACCGGGAGGACCGACTTCGCCGCGAGCCCCGCCCCCGACGGCTGTCACGTGACGCGGGGGCGGAGCTCGACTGGGAGCGCGGAGCCGGGAGACTGGAGGGTAGGTGGAGTTAGCGGGTCTCTGCGAAGGGCGAGCTTGGCCTCGGAAGGGGCAGGAATAGCATCCGTGGGCGAGAACTGCGAGAGGATCCCAGGGGGTTAATGCGGATCCTCCCCTGCACCAGTAGCCTAACTGCCCCTTGGACTCTGTGCGGATGAGCACACAGGACCTGGGTTCACCTTGGGAACAGACAGCATGATGTATGTCAATGATGTGTAGTAGCTGTAGCTCCGGCTACTAGTTACGGACCCAGGATAACAAAGCTGTGATGGCCCCTGTTCTGAAATCCATTCTATGCTGGAGACGGTAAATACGAACCGCTACTTAAGTCCATATGTAATTAAAATTATCTGAAGTAACGTGAAAAGAGCCCTGGTTTAAAACCTGGGGCTGAGAGGCGGGATAAGAGTAGCTATATGGAAAAGGGGCAGGGGAAGTCAGTGTGAGAAAGTTCCTGAGCCGAGGGAGGCATGATTGCTCCTTAGAGAAATACAAAGTGTTGTGGATTTTTTTTTTAACAACAGCAAAGAAGATGTTTTATTTTTATGTGTATGAGTGTGCCCCTGAGTGTATGTGCGCCGTGTGCTTGCAGAGGCCACCGGAAGCCAGCAGAGGGAGTTGGGACTGCTGGAACTGGAGTACGGACAGTTGCCAGCCACCAAGTGGATCCTTTGCAAGAGTATTACACCTCCTGACCACTAAGCTGACTCTCCGGCCATTTGCGCCCACCCCACCCTCTAACCCGTCTTAGATCAAAGGGTATTAGAGGTCATTCATATTTCATAATGCAAGATAAAGGTTTTCCTTTATGTACATGGAAGCCATTGAAGGGGTAGAGAACGTGAGTGTTTTGACACTGCTATTCTGTAGTGAGAAAAAAAAGCAAGAGATTGGGCTGAAGTACTGGTCACGGATATAGGCGCACAGATTTGAGACGGTTTTGCTGTAGAGCCAAATTTGGGTAGTGGGAAAACTAGGGGGAATCTCGTCTTCTGGTTTAATGGACTGCCACAGCTCCAGAAGGTGCTGCCTGCAGAAATGGAACTGTTGGAAGCTGAACACAGATGGGGGTGGAGGATCAGTAACTCAGTGTTTAACTTCTTCAGTTTGTGATGCCTGTGTAGCGTCAAGGTCATTGATTTCAAAAAGTAGCGGGGTGGGGTGAGGGGAAAGCCGGAGAGATGGCCCAGCCATTAAGAGCACTGGCTGCTCTTGCAGAAGATCCAGGTTTGATTCTCAACACTCATATGGCCGCTCACCATCCTCTATGACTTGAGTTCCAGAATGCCCTCTTCTGAACACATGTGGTGCAGGAACATATGCATAAAGAAAGAACACATACACGTAAAATAATTTTAATAATTTTTCAAAAGCATCTGGACTCAGACCTCTGAATGAAGGAAGAGACTGCCAAGTGCAGAAACCCAACTCACCAAGAACGTTGAGAAGTTCCTACACCTGACCCCTGTGGTCCCACTGCCCTCTGCCGACTCCTAGGTCTACAGGGGAATAAAACATAATCTGTTAAAATGCATTTCATCTATTACTACTGTATGATGAATTTGGCATGATGGGGTAGGGCGTACATTACCATGTAGCTGTAGGGATTTTCGTTGTTTTGTTTTCTGTAGTGGTTGGAGCAAATTCAGGATCTTGCACGTGCTGAGCAAGCTCTCTCCTTCCCCTACTTTCCAGCCCTCAACTGCTCATCTGGATAAAGCCCAAACCAAACCCCCAGACCTAAAAGCAGCCACTTAAAGACTGAAAGCCGTACCCCAGGCCCACAGATGTAGTGGGAGGGCCACGCCTAGGTCAAGTGCAGTGCAGAACAGGATACACTCATACTACGTTTAACTCGGTGAGGTTGCTCGCTTTTGACGGCTGGCAAACCGATCACATGTCTAATCCTTTGAAAAGTGCCCCATTGTATGAAACCAGCAGGCTGGATATGAATTTCAATAAGCAATGAAAATCCCGAGTTCCTGGATTTGTGCCACCAAACGTTCTTGTTTGTTTTGGCATCTCTGTAAAAGAGGTAGGACTTCCAAAGGAGAATGGTGGTGGCTGTCTGCCGCGGCATGCTGTGGTCCTCTTCATTAGAGCTACAGGTGTCACGTGCCACGTGAGGGATTTTACATGCCCAAACAGTGGTGCTTATTTAAGATTTCTTTATTTTTATTTGGCTTGGGTGCTTTGGCTGTGTGCGTGTTGGTGCGTAAGAACGGCATTTGTAGGCAGTTGGTTGCTCCTGTTTGTCTGCCCTGATCTGTCTGGTACAGCCTCCCGTCCCGCCGTGTGCACAATGATTTCCCATACTGTCAGCTGACTTTTCTGCAGTGGGCTTGCTCATCTTAGCAGCCTGGCACGTAATTCGTATTTATGGCAAGTGGATAAGTGGATATGCTGTCTCCTCAGCCACGTGAACCTTTTCTTTATAGAAAGATGAGACTCAGGCAGAGTCATTTGTCCAAAAAACACGACAGCCGTCATCCTTCTCAGCCACTTGCAGATCTCAGCTTTCTTCCTACATTTGGGGGTTCCTCACTGATGAGCTTGTTATGGAAGTGAAGGCGCCAGATGCTTCCTCTGTCTTTCCATGCAGTTCTAACTTTACAAATAAATACTCCCCCTGCAGAATTGAGACCTACACGCTATATATAGCAACATCTCTGCAACATTGTCAGCAACACGATGTAGAGCATCTCCGGGTGCCTTGGAAGCTGTGAGCTGGCATCCCTCAGAGTAAGTGTTTGCACCTAATGATCAACAGACAAACAGAGATGGTCCAGCTTCCCGGTCTCCCGGGAAACCCGATTCTCTGGTGATCCTGAAGTTCCTTTTATCTCGTTAATGAAATATTTTCCTTACTACTGCCAAAAATGGAGTTTGATGTTTGCAACTAAGAATTCATACTCACATAATTTATATTAAACCGCTGAAGCTGTTAGCCAGGACTGTGAACTCCAGATTCTCGTGTTCTTTCAACACTCGTATCGCCATGTCCCAGCCATCCACAATATTTACACTCTGCATTGATGTCTCGGTATCAGTTTTTTTTTTAACTGAATTTTTATGGAAGCTGAAAATAAACATCTTGAGTGGCTTCACGGGGAGGTGGCTGTCAGCAGAACATCTCAAAGGCAGACATACCGCGCATCTGCTATATCATTTTCTTCTTTCTCTCGCTCTCTGGGGTGTACGTGCATGTTTGTTTGTGCATGAGTGTGCACATGAATGGGGGGCAGAGGTCACCATTGAGCAGCTTTCTCTATTGTTCTTCGCCTTAATTTTCCCTTTTCCCCCTTTACTGAAAATAAATTGTTCTCATACAATATATTTCCTGATTATAGTTTCCCCTCCCCCATTCCTCCCAGTTCCTCCCCACATCCCCTCCCAACAAGACCCATTCTCTTTTGTCTCTTATTGGGGGAAAAAAAGGGCTCTTTTCCCTAAGGAATAATAATAAAATATGATAAGATAAAACAAAAATTACAATCAGAGTTGGACAAAAAAAAAACAAGCAAAAAAGTTTTCAGAGACCCACTCGTTCCCACACTCAGGAATCCCATAAAAAGCTGGGCGGTGGTGGCGCACGCCTTTAATCCCAGCACTTGGGAGGCAGAGGCAGGTGGATCTCTGTGAGTTCAAGACCAGCCTGTTTACAAGAGCTAGTTCCAGGACAGGCTCCAAAACCACAGAGAAANAAAAAAAAAAAAAAAAAAAAAAGGAATCCCATAAAAGCGCTGTACTGGAGGCCATAATATACATGCAGAGGACTTGGTACAACGAGGGGGGGGGGGGAAGCTGGGCTGCCTCTCACACTCCTTCCACAACCTCTTCTAAGGGATTCTCTGAGCCCTGAGGGGAGGGATTTGGTGTACACTTCCCAGTTGGGCTCAGTGTTCCAAGGTCTCTCATTCTCGAATGTCTGTCTGTAGGTCTCTTTATTTGTTCCCATCTGCTGCCAAAGGAAGCTTCTCTGGTGGCTGAACAAGGTACTGATTTATAAGTGTAGCAGAATATCATTAGGAGTAATTTTATCACTGCATTTTTTTTTAAAGACCAGTAGTATTTGGTTTTACCTTAGGTCCCTGGGCTATCTAGTCTCTGGTTCTGGGTTACCCAATTAATGCTAGGTATGGGTTCCATCTCTTAGAGTGGGCATTAAGTCAAATCAGCTATTGGCTAGTCACCCCCACAAGCTTTGTGCCACTGTTGCCCTAGTGTATCCTGCAGGCAAAATATCACTGTAGATCAGAGGGTTTGTGGCTGGCTTGGTGTTGGCATTTCTCATTTGGTAGCATGTGGAACATCTTCCTGTATCAAAGCTGCTAGAATGGAAGAATGAAGGCTCTACGTAGGCACCAGCCTGACTTCTCCATGTTCGGTGAGTTGTGTAGGTTTTGTCTTCAGCAATGGGATCTTGCTGACAGTTTTTAGAGCCCAACATGTCTTTGTCTTGGCAACATCCTGGGTTGTTTGGGGATTCCCATGAACCCCTTTGGCCAACAACTCAATTAGATGTATTGTAATCCAATCCCAATACTCATTTGGTGACAAGAGATGGTCAGTTGGGACTCTGCCTCCCTATTATTTGGCAATTTCATTTAGATTGCTTTCCTATATGCATGTATTTTAGGACACTTCTCTTGCATTAGGTTTTCATGCTACTCCTCAAATGAGCCTTGGTTTTTTTTTCTATCCCCTTACTTCCCTTCGCTTCCCCTCACCACTTGATCCTCTTGTTCCAGCCCCGCCCCCACCAGCCCATAATTATCTATTCTGTTTCCTTTTCCTAGGGAGAGCTATCACACTTCGTCCCTTGCTCTATACCTACACTCAGTGGTTCTACGGTTGTTTCTAATGTCCGGCTATTATGAATAGAATATCCATAAACATGGTTGAGCAAGTTTCCTTGTGGTAGGAT